GTTCGCGACCGACCCATCACTAACGGCCAACATGTACGAAAACCGGTACGCATGTGTATCGTGATAAAAGAAAAAGCAGAAAAGCCTCTTGGACCAATACCTCAAACTAAACAGGAAGTCGGCCATTTTGGATTTCGTGGTCATTTCTGGCGCTTTCGTCCGTTGCATTTTAAACGAACTCCTCAAATAGGGAATTTATCGGAAATCGACTTCAAATTTGTTTCAGTTATCGTGTTAACTAAACACCTAAATTAGGATGAACATTTGAGCTATTGTGGCGTCGAACGGCCGTTCAAAAATGTGGGGTGCCGTCCAATTCCGCATAATTCGCCATGAAAAGGAAGTTGTCATAACTTCAGTGTACATGATCTGATCTTAATGAAACTTCACGTTTGATAACAGTCCCGCCCTGAACACGTCTACATGACAATATTCAGATATAGTGATAGCGCCACCTACTGGCAACAGGAAGTAAGCACTGCGTTGCGATTTTGAACAGATTTGCGTGAAATTTTCATGTTTTGGTCCGCATGTATTACGCCTGCACGTGGCGCAGCCGCAGCACGCCCCGAGTTGCGTGGAGTGCGAGGTCCCGTTCATCGCTGCTTGCAGCTTTAATTCTTTCTTGATACTTTAGAAGGCCTTAATGTTGGGAAGTAATCTGTAGGAGCTCTTGGCTTTACTGCAGATTAGTGTCATTGTAGCAAAACAAAGGGGTATTGGTAAAGTTGTACCAGGAAACAGTTTATATATATGAGATTTAGAACATTAATATAGCAGCAAACAACTATTTGCCAAGGCGTCCTGAGCAGAGAATGACGTCACGCTCCCTCTATGTTGTGTTGTTCCCCGAGCTGCCCTGTGCTTTGTTTATACAGCCTGCATGGTACTGTTGGCTTTGGAGGAGAGCGACTGAAATGGCTGTTTTTATCATCTACGCTGGTGAATTGAGGATTCATTACGACCAAACCAGAGGTTGTGATTGTTGGAACAGTGAAAAGACTGACAAAGACTGTTTTGGTCAGTTTTATTATGTTTCTGTCTACTTTTAATTATGTTATGATGATCTGCAAGGGAAAATCTCTGTTTTTGTCAATGGAGTCTGGTGGCTAACGATAGAGATATAATGGCTGCTTCTGGTTAAACAAAAAGGATCTTACTCTTTAATAAAAAGGTCCATCTCTGTAAGGATCCTTTCAATAATGTTGTTAGCCACTTACAGAATAATAATCTCGGCCTGTCAGTGGCAAAAACAAGCACTTTTATTGGGCGTACTTTGACAAGTGCATTTGTCCCAAAGGATGTTGATGTATATCGTGAATATTTTGCAAGATAAAATTACTGGTTTTGTCATTGGAGTCGGGTTTTTTTGGTTTCGTCTGAACTGCTGGTGATCTAATGTGACATCTAGCGGCAGTAAATTTCATAAACATAACTTTTCATACAGTCACATCTCCCCTTTATAAAGAGCTTTGATTCACATTTGCATGTGTCAGTGAAGGAGGTGAATACCTGTAGTTGGGTTGTAGGCCTGGCCAATATTGGTGAAGACTTTACTGAATTTCAGTGTGATATCAGTGTTGAAGGGTCCAACTTGTCCTGCGTTAGTAAGACCAAGAGAGAACGCCACCTTTGGACGGTCTGTGTGAATGTAGAAGATGAACAGAGAGAAAACTTCACTGATGTATTAGTCTATCAACTATATGTCTTTTTTTTGGGTAATATTTTCCTTATTGACACAGTGATTTACAGCCATACAGTGTAGTGACACTGCAGTCATTTTGATGCTGAATAACATCATTTCTGCCTAATTTAATAACAGTAGTCAGTCAAGTATTAATGTCACTAAGCAGCACTCGGTATGCTCTTTAGTTTCCCAGTTCCATCCTCACTGCTAACATAATATGACATTTTGACTTTTAAAAATGATTTATTTAGCCTACCTGCATTCTCTCTCTTGAGCTCTTCCACCTCATTTTCACTGGAGCTCATTCTGGCTTCCAAAACTGTACAAAACAAACACATTTAACATTTTTATAGTAAAATAAAATCTTTGTTTTCATTTTTTGTTAATTACTTTGAAATCCTACCCATGTTCTTATTTTCACTTGCTGTTATTCTAGCCAGAAGATCTGCAATGAAAGGAAAATCAATATGTAGGTTATCTGATCAACAACCAGAAGTAAAACCTCATTCAAATGTAATTTTGTATGCTAAATCAGAAAGAAAGTGTACTATACTATATGCAATTTTTTTTTATTTATTATGTTTTTGTAGCTTACCTTCGTTCTCTCTCTTGAGCTCCTCAACTGCTTTTTCACTGCCGTTCATTCTGGCCTCCAAAACTGTGAACATACTGTATGTTTATAAAGATTTACTGTGAATTTCACTTTGATAATGGCCTCAATATATTGTTATTATTAATATAATATACAGTTTTTACTTTTTTTATTTATAGCACACCCGTGTTGTCTCTCTTGAGTTCCTCCACTTCAATTTTGGCCCACCTATGTATGTAGGAGTGTAGATTCCAGTGAGCATCTAAAGGGTTAATGATTTTGGTAGCTTACTTATATTCTCTCTCTGGAGATCTTTCACCACATTTTCACTTGCGATCATTCTGGACTCTAAAACTGTGAATACAAAGTAGGTTTTTCAGCAAAAGGTTACACTCTACACCTTAAAGATGTATTTACATATAAATCTGGAGCTTGATCAAATAGGAAAACTAACATGAATTAATTTTACTTCTATGTATAC